GTCACACTATACTGAAGCTTTTCAAAGATATAAAGCAAAAATCGAAAAGCAGAAACTGGAATACAAGTGTACAAAATACGAGGCATACAACCAACTTTCAACTTAGCTGAGCTGCAAATATCACTAAATTCTTGCAGTAATTCTGCCCCAGGCCACGACCATGTCATGTATGAAATGTTGAAAAACCTGCCGCTTGAAACGCGAAAAACTTTACTCTCCCTATACAAGCTATCTGGCTTTCTGGCACCATACCTACTTCCTGGAAAGAAGCCATTGTTATCCCTATTTTGAAACAGGGCAAGGACCCTTCCTCTGTTTCAAGTTATAGGCCAATTGCACTAACCAGCTGCCTTTGTAAACTTTTTGAAAAAATGATAAACCGTCAACTTTTATATTTCCTTGAAACGCACAATCTGCTTGACCAATACCATTGTGGGTTTCGAGAGAATAGATCTACCACCGACCATCTGGTACGTATCGAGGCACAGATCCGAGACGCTTTCGTCCACGAACAATACTTTCTTTCTGTGTTGCTCGATATTGAAAAGGCTTATGGCACAACATGGCATTTTGGCATATTAAGAGACTTGTCTCACCTGGGTGTGCGCGGTAGAATGCTTTCCATAATCGAGAGTTACTTGTCCAATCGGACATTCCGTGTGCGTGTGGGAAGTGTTCTCTCCCAATTATTTGTTCAAACAATGGGAATACCGTAAGGCAGTGTACTTAGTTGTACACTTTTTATTATCAAAATGAATTCCTTGCACCTTTCCATCCCCCGCAATATGTTCTATTGTACATATGTCGATGACGTCCAGCTTGGCTTTAAGTCATGCAACCTGGCAATGTGTGAACGGCAGGTTCAGCTAGCTTTGAACAAGGTCTCTAAATGGGCAGAAGAAAGTGGATTTCGACTGAACCCACAAAAAAGCACATGTGTCTTGTTCTCCTGAAAGAGAGGTATGCACTCAGAACCCGACAATCAATTGAATGGTCAACGTCTGTCTGTTAATGCCGAGCATAAATTCTTAGGCCTAATTTTGGACAACAAGTTTACTTTCGTACCGCAAATTAAGTATCTAAAAACAAAATGTATAAAAGCCATGAGTTTTCTGAAAGTGTTGTCACATACTACGTGGGGTAGCGACAGGCAATCTCTTGAATTTGTATAGGAGCCTCATTGGCACACGCTTAGATTATGGGGCCGTTGTTTATCAGTCTGCGACTCAAAGTGCTTTGAAGATGCTGGATCCCGTGCACCATTTCGGCATCCGCCTTTCTACGGGTGCTTTTCGCACCAGTCCTGTAGAAAGCCTTTACGTTGAGTCAAATGAATGGTCGCTTCATCTACAAAGAAGTTACGTGTCCTTTGTATATTTTCTTAAGGTGAAAGCAGACAAGAAGCACCCTTCCTACTCCACTATTAATGATTTGTCGAGCGCTATTCTGTTTCAAAACAGGCCTTCGATGAGGCAGCGCTTCTCAGTTTGCCTGAAGGGCGTAACTGAGGAAACTGGAGTGTCACTTGAACACACTTTAATGGGTCCTGCAGTATACCCGCCACCGTGGCAGTGGCAGATTATAGACTGCAATGTGTCTTTCCTAGAAGTTACAAAACATGCACCTATTGCCCATATCCGAAACTACTTCCTGGAACTTCAACACAAATACACACGTCCTGAGTTCTTTACAGATGCCTCCAAGTCTAACTCCTCTGTGTCCTACGCTGCTGTCGGCCCATCCTTTTCGGATGATGGCCCTCTACATCCAAGCACAAGTATCTTCACAGCGGAAGCTTACGCGATACTTGTGGTGGCTAAACACATCAAGCAATCACAAATACAAAAAGCAGTAATATATACAGACTCCCTCAGTGTGGTAACGGCTCTGCACAGTCTTAAAAAACAAAAAACCCGGTCCTTGTCTCACTTTACTCCATTTTGTGCACACTCTACACACTCAAACAACATGTTGTAGTGTGCTGGGTGCCAGGGCACCGTGAGATCCAAGGCAACGTGATGGCGGATCAGCTTGCTGCATCCGTCCACGAAATCAGTTCCAGCACACCCATATCGATCTCGCCCCTTGATTTTAAGCTGTCTCTCAAACGAAAGCTCAGGGACTACTGGCAGAGCAAGTGGGATAGACACACACAAAACAATCTACACGTTATCAAGCCACACCTTGGCCATTGGCCACCAGTATCCAAATCACGTCTAACAGAGGTAACACTAACAAGGCTCAGGATAGGACACACATACACGACACACACATATCTTTTGTCCGGTGGTGATCCGCCATTGTGTGACAGATGTGGTGAAGCACTAACAGTTCTCCACATTTTAATTCAGTGCAAACAATTGGACACTCTAAGAAAGCAACACTTTCCATTACCCTACCGACAACATATACCTTTACACCCTGCAATGTTCGTCGGTAGGGAACCGCTTTTTAGTCATAAATCATTGTTAGCGTTTTTAAAAGAAATTCATAGTTTTGATATCATATACCCGGGCATCCCGTAGCACGACCTCTGCAGAGAGGTTTTTGCTGCGGTGGCTATACAAGAAAGCACTTGTCTCACAGCCCTTGGACACAAGGGCGCTGATGGGGCAATTGTGCTAGTGCCAAGTATTTTTACGTGTTTCTATTATCAAAACGTTTGTCACCCTTTTTACTATGCATATCTTGTCAGTGTCATGTCTTTAATACTTATATTTTTACCCGCATTATCGCGAAGAATTTTAAGGCCCCTATACAGCCACGCAACATGTCATTGTCCACATCTCTATACTCATTGAAATGGCGCTCTTTGGCCATCAATTGGCCCTTGCACCATAAAGCGCCACACATCATCATTCAGTGATACAAAGAGGGCAGGCAAATGACTTGAGGTTTTCAAATTGCCATGTTACAGAACCTAAAGTATGCAACCTGCTACAAAAACAATTGTATATTTGAAATCAGCATACAAAGTTCTATAAACAGCTCAAATTTCATTGCTCTATGAAGGTTCATGCGTGTCCTCGAAGCCCTTGAAGATTCTTTAATGAGAAGTTTGTTTTCAAGGCCTTGAAAATGCTGGAGTTTCCATAAATCCTTGAATTTCCTTTTTTTTTACTTTTTAATAAACATTGCCACACAATTAACAGTTCGTTATTTGTGATGCTGTAAATGTCTCATCATAATAGAATTGAGAACAGCAGTAGCTTCTGTGAAGAACCAGCATTGTGCATTTTAATCATAATAATATTTGTGCTTTTACATCCCAAAACTAAGAGATGATTATAAGAGCCACCGCAATGGAAGGCTTCCGAACATTGACCATTTGGTGTTCCCCAACATGCACTGATATCGTGCATTACACAGGCCTCTACCATTTCGCCTCTGTCGAAATGCGACAGGTGCAGCCGAGATTGAACCTGCGACATTTGGGTCTAAAGCAGGAACAGCAGGATAAGAAAAAGAAATGTTGTTTGAGGAGGAGGCTGAAATGCTTACAAAAGAAAAAAAAAGAAGTCACTGCAAACAAACTAACAGCCATACCAGACTTGTATGCAGCAGAGGCAACTACTAGTGACCTGATGTGCATCATCAGCCTTAGGAAGACAGCCAGTACCAATTAGCAGGATGATACGAAAATTCAGGAGGAGTGGCATAATAACTGTTCCTTAGTGTTGTGTATCTGAATAAAAGTTTGCATTTTGTGTTAAATGAAAGTGATTATTTATGCAACTTGTAAGAAACTATGACTGAAAGTTGTCTAGAAAAAAAATGTTAATCAGAGCCATGTTTTCCATGTTTGCTTCAGCGGTGTTACTCTTTTTCGATGAATTCTAGGTATTTAGAGCCTCCATGCTCTCCTAAGCATGTGTCAGTGGGATTTGTAACAGGCAATGTGGTCCTTGAAAATTCACACCTTGAAAGTAAACCTTGCCTTTTCGTCATGTGAATAAGCATGAACCCTGTCTAAGGTGAATCATTGAGAGAAAGGCTCTTTCATCAACATCTCCCCTTAATACGCTTATTTTACAAAGTAGTGTCTGGTAAACACGTAACCACCCTTCCTTTTTTCTGAGCTGATAGGAACGTCTTCTGTTTGCATAATAACCATTCCTTCAAATGTATTTTAAGACACACTAATGCATTCACCTTATCTGCCTTGCCACATGGAATGGTCTTCCTGACAATGTTGTCACCGTTCACGACACTTTTTGGCACAATGTAACTGCTTTCTTTTAATTTTCATGACTAGTTGTTTCTAGCTTTCGTTAAATTATAAACATGCACTTTGATGACCATTGTATAATTTTACACAATGTACTCTCAGAAATCTGTATTTTATTTATTAGTTGCTTGCAATTGCAATGGGACTAAGTTATACGACTGTGGGAAAACCTTCGTGTAATCACAATTCAAGGTGCCCACCCGCAAGGGTGATCTCAAGAGCATCTGTGAAATGATCTGCCTCTGCTGCTTGGCTACTGCATTTAAAGTACAGTGCCAACCCTGAAAACAGCTCCTTTCTGCTCTTGTCTGCTATCACTGGAAGCATCCAGAACCTCCGTGCAGATCGACGGCGTTGATCAAGTTGGCACTCGCACGGTCTTCTGGAAAACCAGCAATTTATTGAGCTGCAGGAGCGAACACTTTCCCGCGCTTACAGATTACTGTGCAGATTACAGATTACTGTGTACTGTGCATTTTAAAAAGTGCACCACTTGCTCCTGTATATGTTACTTGTTGAATTAAAAGCTATTTTTGCTACTTCTGATTTTTCCAACATTTTCACTTGGAACCGTAGTGCCCTCGGGCGCTGCAGTGGAACAGTTGCATAAGCCTCTTTTTTTGGCCGAAACCCATGTTTCACGAGCTTTGCAGCTCAAGTAACTTCATTTGCAATCTATGAAGTGCACGGGAGAGGAAACTCTGCATGTATACATGGTTTATTGCATTTTGGTCACAGGCGTCCCATAAAGGATCTGCCTTACACTCTGCAGGATCATAACTATGGTGCTCCACCGCCAGCGACACCCCCTCAAAGCCCACCCCCTCCACCGCTACCACCACCACCACCACAACCTTTGCCACCGTCGCCGCCAGTGCCACCGTCGTCCACTCAGACACGGTTCAACGGCACATCGCCGGGCCTTCTGGTCGAGGTTGGCAGTCCTCCTCCACTTGTCAACGGAGTGGTGGCCTGCGACCGGAAAGAAGAGTGCAGTGCCCCCAGTGAAGAGAGTGTGACGCGCTGCATCTGCGGCTTCAATCAGGACGATGAGTACATGATCTGCTGTGACCAGTGCCTGGTGTGGCAGCATGTGGACTGCATGGGCCTGGACCGCAGTCACATTCCCGAGACGTACCTGTGCGAGCGCTGCTGCCCGCGTCGAGTGGACAAGCAGCGGGCCCGCTCTCTCCAAACGCGCAAGAAGCACCAAATGGCCCGTGAGTAGAAAGTGCTTCTTTGGGAAAGGCTGCCTCTATATGTATTAAGACAACTGGTGGCATGCAGCTGCCACAGCCAATGGGGCTGCGGCAGCTGGGTTCTCGTGGGGCTCTTGGCTGCTAACAATACCTTTTGGGGGATCATCTACTTCCAAATGTGAATGGTTTAGCGAAAAAGATCGCTAAACAGGCCAATGTAAAGGTGGTCTTCTCCACCCTGTGATTGTCAATGTCGGGATTCTCTATGTATTTCTGGCTTTTGTGCCTACTGTGTTGTTGCCAGAAGCCACAAGAAATGTGTAAACCTATTTGTTGGGACCAAGGAAAGCATTGAAGCAGGCGATAAGTGTGCTAGCGGTGCTTCAGTGTCACTGTCACCTAAGGAGTTGCTATAGTGCATAAAGGGTATTACTTGAATGCAACTGCACATTAATAATTTGTGATGGTGTGTGTTATACACAAACACATATATACTGTGTTCATCTCGTAATAAACGCAATGAAGGCAAAGGTCAGTGGTTCTCCGAACACCTATCCTGAGGCGTTCTCCTTACTGATTTAAAAAACGTGAGAGTTTCTTGTTATGTCACTAATCTAACAAATAGTGCCGCTGCATTTCTCTTTGGCCGTTGGGATTTACTGTTTGACATGCCATCTTATATTTCAGTGAGGAAGTCGTAAGTAGTACACATATAAAGGCAAGCAACTTATTTCCGCGTCTTGCTGCTGCGCGCCATATGGCGGCCGTTTGGTACACTGTAGGACATGCAAAGCAAGTGTTGGACAAATGGGGGAAGCTTTTGCAGTGTAGAATGCGCTGTTCAACAGTGTCTGAATCAACTTTGCCACAATACAGTAGCATCAAGTGGCGAAGCGTGCTCGAGCACATCCCGCTAAGCGCCTCTGAACATGTGGGTCCTCTGCTGTGGAAAATGTTCCTCAAGGCAGGTGCTGTGAATCATGTTCTAGAACCAAGATAGCATCAATTGTCGGCAAGATGGCTCACCGCGCATGATGAGTGCTCAGAAAACGTGTGTTTGTGGTTGCCATACATGGCAGTAACTGTAGCTAAGCATAGGTGCACCTAGGGTTACCAACTGGCCATGATATTGCAGGACTGTCCTGATTTTTCATGCATCGTCCCAAGTCCCACAGTGTGTTTGTTGGGATAACCACACATCCAGAATTCGTTCGGTGCTGTCCAGTTATAAATATTGATACACAACAGTTGGCACAGCCTGGCTGCAAGAAAGAGAAAGACGACGTTGGTGGCTGGTTCTTTATGAACTGTCGCCATCTTGTTTGCCGAGCACGGTGCATCGTATTTAATTTATTAAATAAGTTACCCGTAACATTATTGGTGGAGGTGGATGACTCCCGTACTTCAATGGAGACGCGCAGCGGTCGCAACACCGGGGACTCTTTGGCTACTTCAACTGCCAGTGCCTCATGCCCACCGGTCTCTCGATCCAAGTCGACAACCTACGTCACCCTGCCACCCCTGCGGGATCCTGGAACTTTCTCCGCTGACCGTACCAGCAACGTTGACTCCTGGCTGCACCGGTACGAGCGAGTCAGTGCTACCCACCGCTGGGATCCCACGCTCATGCTCGCCAATGTTGTGTTCTACCTCAACGGCACACCACGGACATGGTTCGAAACCAACGAAGCCGAAATCACAAGCTGGCATCTTTTCAAATAGAAGATCCGTAATCTTTTTCGGCGATTCATCTGGTCGTCAGCTCACTGCCAAGAAGACTCTCGCCACTCGGGCCCAGACGTCTACTGAATCTTACGTCTCATACATTCTTGACGTCTTGGCGCTTTGTAGCAAGGTCGACCAGCGCATGTCAGAAGAAGAAAAAGTTAATCATGTCCTCAAAGGGATTGCTGACGATGCCTTCAACCTGCTGGTTTTTAATAATGTCACGAGCACCGACACAATCCTCACAGAATGCCGCCGTCTAGAACAGGCTAAAGCCCGCCACGTCACCCACGGCATCACGTGCCTGCCGAACACAGCTGCTACTTCCTCTTGTGATGACGCCGTTTGCCCAGTTCCCCGATGTGACAACCTCACCCGCATCATTCGTCGCGAGTTCGAGGCAGCCCAACCAGTAGCTACTCCATTTCCAACGCCTGATCCTTCGCCGACCACTATCTCACTGATACAAGCCGTCGTTCGTCAAGAATTATCGAACGTCGGCCTACACCCCATTCAACCATTCTACTCTGCCGAGCCTTTTTATCGTCGTCACTCCGCTTCTCGATTTGGTTCTAACTACTCTCAACAGCACAATTTGTCCGAATGGCGTACACTGGATGACAAGCCCATATGCTTCAACTGCCGACGTGTCGGTCATATTGCTCGCCACTGCCGCAATCACTGGGCTCCGCCGGCACACTATGGGCCTCCTACCCAGGCCACTTCTGTCCACCAGTCGTCATCGACATTTGATTTTGATTCCCCTATGCCGACCACATCCTCTGATTCTGCCGCACCTCTGACGAGACCTCGCTACGCCCGCTCACCATCCCCTGCTCGCCGTCAATCTCGTTCGCCCCCACAACGCCGTCCTGCCTCTCCGACCTATTCGCAGCGCCCCCGACCGGAAAACTAGGCAGTGCAGCTTCTGGAGGTGAAGCTGCGTTGACGATGACCTCTGCAAGAAATCCTCGTGTAACATTACCGACCACCCGGAATCTGTTGAACGTTAACTTTAGACAATGTACCTGTGCGCGCGTTGATCGATACCGGCGCGCATGTGTCAATAATGAGTGCTGCTCTTCGTCGCCGCCTAAAGAAAGTTATCACACCTGTCTTGAACTGAGTCGTTCGAGTCGCCGACGGGGGAATTGCCGTGATTATTGGCATGTGCTCTGCCCTGTGTGACTATCGCCGATAGAAGCACTGCTGTTCTTTTCACCGTTATAGAAAATTGCCCTCATGAAGTAATTCTAGGCATGGATTTTCTAACCGCTCACTCGGCCCTTATAGATTGTTCAGCCGGCTGTCTTGACCTTGAAATGCCTCTACTTTCAGATCTGACCAACCCACCCCTAAGTCGCCTTTGCTGCATTGATTACGCACGCCTTCCGCCTAACTGTGTCACACATATCGACCTCTTCTCTACACCACCTGTACCTGACGGTGATTTCATGGTGGCCCCAATTCATGCCGTGATGCTTACGCATGGCGTCGCTGTTCCGCCTACCATTTTGAGAATCGTTGAAAACCGCACATGCCTTCCTATTGTCAATTTTGCCCTCACTGCCCAAATTCTTTCACAAGGTATCTCCCTGGCCGAAATTACTGCTCTACAAGACCATACGGTTGTACCCTTCAGAGTGGATGATTGCTGCACCTCAGACCATGAACCAACTCTATCATGTTCATCGGGCGTCGACGTTGACCACGTGGTATCATCAGACCTCGCTCCTGATCAAGCGGAAGCCCTTCGTCACATCCTGGACTCCTATAGTGACATTTTCGACTTCGCCAGCACGGCTTTAAGCCGAACGAGTGTTGTTACTCATCGCATCAATACTGGTGACGCAAGTCCCATTCACCGACGTGCATACTGTGTTTCCGCGTCCGAGCGCACAGTCATACAACAGGAAGTCGAAAAGATGCTTGCAAAAGACATAATCGAGCCCTCTTGTAGCCCCTGGGCTTCTCCTGTCGTCCTGATCAGAAATAAGGATGGAACATGGTGCTTTTGTGTAGATTATAGGCATCTCAACAAAATTACGAAGAAAGATGTTTACCCGTTGCCTAGATTCGACGATGCCTTAGACTGCCTTTACGGTGCTACGTATTTTTCCACTATCAACCTTCGATCTGGCTATTGGCAGATTGCTGTAGACGAGATGGACCGTGAGAAGACCGCATTCGTCACTCCCGACAAGCTTTATCACTTCAAAGTTATGCCCTTTGGTCTCTGTAATGCGCCGGCCACATTCGAAAGAGTGATGAACTCATTGCTCCAAGGGTTTAAATGGTCAACCTGCTTATGTTATTTAGACGACGTTATCGTTTTCTCGCCCACATTCGACTCCCATCTCAAGCGTTTGTCGGCGATTCTTGAAGTTTTTCGTTGAGCCGGACTTCAACTGAACTCGTTGAAATGCCACTTTGCTCGTCGTCAAATAACCGTACTTGGCCACATCGTCGATGCCGCAGGAGTCTGCCCGGATCCCGAGAAAATTAGCGCCGCCACGTCCTTTCCTGTTCCGAAGTCAACAAAGGATGTGCGCAGTTTTGTGGGCTTGTGCTCCTACTTTCGACGGTTTGTTAAGGACTTCGCCATCATTGTACGCCCACTCACAAACTTCCTGAAGAAGGACACCCCGTTTTTCTGTGGCGCTGATCAAGCCTAATCTTTTTCCCAGCTCACCACGCTTTTTACAACACCGCCGATTTTAGCTCATTTTGATCCATCAGCTCCAACCGAGGTTCGCACTGACGCTAGTGAGCATGGCATCAGGGCAATGCTATTGCAACACCAACGTGGACATGACCGTGTTATAAGCATATGCAAGCCGACTGCTATCTACAGCCGAGCGCAACTATTCAATCACGGAGCACGAGTGTCTCGCTCTTGTGCGGGCAGTCGCCAAGTTTCGCTCATACTTACACGGGCGTCCATTCCGAGTAGTCACCGACCACCACGCGCTCTGCTGGCTGGCCTCACTCAAGGATCCCACAGGACGCCTCGCTTGTTGGTCCCTACGATTACAAGAATACACGTTCACCGTATCGTACAAAACAGGGCGTTCACATCAACATGCGGATTGTTTATCACGCTACCCTGTGAAAGAGGCTGTCCATACTGACACCTTTCAAGACCTTCTGTCTGTGACGCAGCTACTCAACCTTGGCCACGAACAACGCCGGGATGCTTCCCTGCGAACCATCATTGACAAGCTTGAGTCAATGCCTCGCGACGCATCTCTACAAATGTTCCTGGTAAAAGACGGCATCCTGTATCGCCGTAACCT